GGGGGTTGGGTGGCTGTCAGGAAACCCAGTCACTTGGTTCTGAGTGGTGACCTCTATGCTTGGGTAGGGTTCTCATTTGAGAAGTTTTTTTTACATTCGATTGTTTTTTTTTTCTTCTCCTGAATTGCTGCCCTCATCCACTACCAACACTGGATACAGTTGAAAGTAAATAGTATTTAAAGGTCTTTGTGTAAGCCAACCAGCATTGGCCTATTCACTGGCTGCCATTATGGCTACTTATGCCAAGTCTAAGAATAAATAGGCTGACATTCAGTCTAGGCCCGAGTAGACCACTCTCTCCTTTCTGCTTTGTGTTTTGTGTATTGTTTAATTGCTCGCATGCATTGCCAGTTTTATTTATTAAAGTATTTTTCGCTGAATAGAAATTCATTCCAAAGCAAATGTTTGCTATTTATTTGAAACACCACATTATATATTAATGAAATAACACATAAATATGAGGCTGTAAATAAAAAGTATTCGGTTTTGGTGTTATTTTTGTAGCTCTAGCAACATGCCCTATCCCTGTGTTAAAATAGAACAGAATGGCTCATAAAGTTTTTGTTTCAATAATGAAATTATCAAGGTATCCATACATTGTACATCATTTGCAGAAACCGGTTTCCAATTTTCTCTGCTGAAAATTGGGATTTATGTGTTTTGTCATTGACTTTTTTACCACTCTAATATTAGTCAGGCTGGATGGAAGATGTCATTGAGGGGCTGCAATGGTATGTGTATGTCCAATGGCATGTATACTTCCATAAATCATTCCTATGGTTAAAGCTCAGTTGAAGTAATAGAAATAACTGGTGATGCACCGATATATCAGCAGCCAAAAATAGGGTTATCAGTGTTTTGCCGATAAAAAAAAATGCTGATAACGATAATGGAAAATCATGTCCCATTGACATCACTGCAAAATTGTGTCCCATTTATGTCAATGCAAAACCGCATCCCATTGACATCTAAGCAAAACCGCGTCCCATTGACGTCAATGCAAAACCGTCCCATTGTGTCAATGCAAAACCGCATCCCAATGACGTCAATACAAAACTGCGGCTCATTGACGTTGGTGCAAAACCGCGTCCCATTGACGTCAATGCAAAACCGCGTCCCATTGACGTCAATGCAAAACCGCATCCCATTGACGTCAATGCAAAACCGCGTCCAAGTGACTTCAATGCAAAACCGCATCCCAATGACGTCAATACAAAACTGCGGCTCATTGACGTTGGTGCAAAACCGCGTCCCATTGACGTCAATGCAAAACCGCGTCCCATTGACGTCAATGCAAAACCGCATCCCATTGACGTCAATGCAAAACCGCGTCCAAGTGACTTCAATGCAAAACCGCGTCCCAGTGACGTCAATGCAAAACCGTGTCCCAGTGACATCAATGCAAAACCGCGTCCCAGTTACGTCAATGCAAAACGAGAGTTCCATTGACGTCAATGCAAAAGCACCTCTATTTAAGTTTTTTAATTTTATACATATATTATTTTCTGTCCAATATTTGTGTTATTTTCAATAAAAGTTAATTTCTGTTACTGGATTGTATTTTTTAAATTCATATTCATTTAAATTCATATTAATTAAAAATTCGAAAATATAATACACTTACAGTGCTCAGCATAAATGAGTACACCCCAACAGATTTGTCAGCAAACCTTTCCCTAACTTTCAGAATAAACATTTTCTATGGGACACTATACTGCATTGATTTCAAACAGATTTGTTCATTTGCACACACAATTATTTTTCCTAATAAAATCATTCAAGACCATGTTGCAAAATACACCCCAATTAAAGTCTTCGCAGCAAAGCTAAATTTTAGACAACAAAATAATAATTAACAAGAATTCAACTACAGGTGAGACTAATTATTCAATAAACAGGTGTCCAGCAAATAGTTGATTATAAAAGGACGTTACTTAAAGAAAACCCTTCCCATTTCATGCTGTTAGCAACAGAACCACATGGAAGAGGAATGTCACAAGGCCTGAGAAAAAACATAATTTCTTTACACAAGAAAAGTGAAGGCTACAAGAATATCAGCAAAGCTTTACTTATCAGTCAGAATACTGTAGTAAACGTGATGCAAAAATTTATCAAAGATGCAAATGCAACCATCTCACAGAGACGTCCAGGCCGTTCATGAAAGTTAACACCTCGACAGGAGCATCTTCTAATGAGAAGGGTTGGAGAAAATTGCCATGCAAGTTCACTGCAACTAGCTAAAGAAGTAGAAAGCCAAACTGGGGTGACTGTTTCCCATGACACAATACGACGTACACTGCAGTGGAATAGCATGCATGGATGTCTTCAAGATGGAAGCCTCTCCTAAAGCCCATGCACAAAACAGCCTGCCTAGAAGTTGTCAGGGCCCATGCTGAAAAAGAAGACTACTGGGACTCTGTGCTCTGGAGTGATGAGACCAAGATAAATGTTTTTGGAATGGATGGCTACAAAACTGTATGGTGTTGCAAAGGTTAGTACAAAGAAAAATGCATGGTGCCTACAGTGAAACGTGGTGGTGGTATCTTTCTGTGGGTCTGCATGAGTGCTGTTGGTGTCGTGGACCTGCATTTCATTGATGGTATCATGAATTCACAGATGTACTGCTCTATATTGAAACAGAAGATGCTACCATCACTCCGTGCCCTTGGTCGTCATGCACTTTTCCAACATGACAATGATCCAAAACACACATCTACGGCCACTGTTACATTTCCAAAGAAGAACAGACTGAAAGTGATTCAGTGGCCAATTATGTCTCCTAATTTGAACCCAATCAAGCACCTATGGGGAATTCTGAAGAGACAAGTTAAGCATCTCTCTCCATCCAGCATGCACGATCTAAAAGAGGTCATTCTTGAAGAATGGAAAATCATTGATGTTGCAATATGTCACCAACTTGTTCATTCCATGCCTAGAAGACTTGGTGCTGTCCTTACAAATCATGGAGCTCATACAAAATACTAGTAGTATTTTTTGTTGTGGGGTGTATTCAGTGTATTCATTTTTGCATCAACTAATTTGAGTAAAACTGAAGATTTTGTAATCTAAGTTATATTATTAGCCTTACTTTCATGTAAGGAGCTAAACAAATGTTCTATAAGAGTCAGTTTTGCCAAAAGTTTGGAAATTGTTCTTGTGATCATTGAGATATTGATTACAATCTTACTTTTCAAAAGGGGTGTACTCATTTATGCTGAGCACTGTATGTATACATTTTTTTTTTTTTTTAAACTGTCCATTTTGGGTTCGGTTTTCCGCAAAGGGCTTCCTGAATTTTCGGTTTCGGTCCACATTCTGGTGCATCACTTGTAGATATGCATTCAAAAATACTTTGCGCCAACAACCTTCATTTTCACAGTTGTATCTATACCTTTTTTGATACAGCAGCTTTCCAAGGAAGCTGTGCCTTTTACAGTTCGTTTTTCCCAGTGCACTTTACAATGTAAGAAAACTGGTTAGACAAAGCCCCTGTCTTTCTCTGCAATTCAAGTGTATGAAAATGTTTGTGTGAGGGGTGTGGCTGTTACTCAGCTCTGTCAGCCCAGGGTACTGCATTGTGAGAGATGGAAGCAATATTTTCACAAAAACAGGTATTTTAACCACTTGCCCTCCAGAGGATTCACCCACCTTTCTGACCAGGCCATTTTTTGTGATACGGCGCTGCGTTACTCTAATTGACAATTGCGCAGTCATGCAACGCTGTACATAAAGTCTGTCATTTTTTTTCCCCACAAATAGAGCTTTCTTTTGGTGGTATTTGATTATCTCTGTGTTTTTTTAATTTTTTGCATTATAAACAAAAAGACTGTCAATTTTGGAAAAAAAAACCAAGCTATTTTTTCTTTTTGCTATAAAACATATGTCTTTGCTAAAAAAAAAAAAATTGCTGTCCGGGACCCAATTATTGACATCCGCTGCAACCAACTACAGTGTGGGTAGGGTGGTGCACGCACTCCCTATCTGTAAATGTAAAATCACGTATATTTACCTAATTTTGCGCACAGCAGCCACCTGTAGCATTGTATCTGCTACAGGGCAGAAGGTAAACGTTTAAAGGCTAAGTTCACTTTTTTTTTTGCCCCTAAATTCCAGCTTCTCTATATACCAATATATCATTAAAGCGATTCCAAAGGTTCCATTTTTTTTTGTTTCTAAAATAACAAACATGTCTATACTTACCTATTTTGTGCAGTGGTTTTGCATAGAGCAGCCTGGATCTTCCTCTTCTCGGGTCCCCCCGCAGGCTCTCCTGGCTCTTCCTGTCTGTCAGGTGCCCTCACAGCAAGCAACTTGCTATGGAGGCACCCATTGCTCCATGTGTCCTCACACACGGAGCCACGGCTTGCCCCTGCCTCCTCACTCTCTCCTCATAGGCTGACTGGCTGTGACTGACAGCAGCTGGAGCCAATGGCTCCCGCTCGCTGTCTCAGCCAATGAGGAGGCAAAGATCCGTGACAGCCAAGGCAGTCATTCACATTGCTGGATCGCAATGAGGCTCAGGTAAGTACTGAGGGAGCTGCGGCATGAAGGAAAAAAAACCTTCAGCCTTTACAACCACTTTAATGTACCTCTGCTGAAGAAAAGAAAAATCTTTCTGTATATTCTAGAGCAGGCATTATCTCATGCTTCAGGTGTCTTCTATAGAAAACTCCATTACTTCCTGGAATTTGTCCTGGTGTTTGGAGCGAAAACCGTTATAAGGAAGTACTTCAGCAGCTGCCTCATTAACACACACTGCACCTGCCCTCCGCTCCAAGAGATTGCTCCCACCCACCTTTGTATTCATATGCAGCCAATGTCCATGAACTCCATTCTCACTGAATGCACAGCTACTGTCCTCTGCTGACGTATCCTTTTGTACCTTCTTCTTGCATAGATCGTTCATTTGGCAAAGTGTGCTGGAGCTTAATTTTTTTGCTAATGGAAACTGAATTTGTTGTTTTAGTTGAATAACCATCTTACCTTTTGTGTTTCATTAGGATGGAAAAGTCATCTTTCCTGCACCACAACCAAATAAAGTCCCAACCGGAGTCCCTGTGAAACAAAAGTCTGTAGCTGAATTGGAAGCTGAAAGAGTAGCCGCCATTTCTCCATTTAGGAAAACGTTGACCAACGCCACTGCATACACTGCAGGTATGGGGCATCTATGGATCTTGGCTGCTCAATTCTTTCAGACATTTTCAGTGGGACTGAGTAATAGCATTATGTGAAGGGAGTTGCATCTTTCTAGAGCAGTAGCGGTCAACTTACATGATTTAGGTGGTCTGAAGTGTGGTCCCTGACATTGTTAAAGGGACACGTGAGATTTGATTAATGCAATGTTAGAGAAGACTGCCAGAGAATTCAGGCATTCTACGAGAGAGATGGTCAGAACACTGGAGATGTATTACATGAGACTGCTAGGGATCGCTGCAATTTACATCCCTTTACAAACCAATGCTTCCACTTCTTGACTCCCTACAGCTCTTTTAAAGTTTGTGCCAAATATGATATCAGAGAAAAAAGCAGAAAGAAAAGGAATGAACAGCACAGAAAAAGTAATGATGTATGTATCAGTGTGGCGTCATACTGATACATACATCATTACACTAGTCTATGTACGGCAGCTATTTATCCTAATATCTAATAAGACCTAAATACGGTCAGTGTGTTTGTAATCACTGTTGATACGGTCTGTGTAAATTATAAGAGGAAAATGCTTTTATTGGAGTAAATCAATATATCTATACAATCAGCCTAAGCAATCATCTAAAGCAGAACACAACTTTAAATGGAATAAGGCCAAATAAAGTCATGTTAGCTACCTAGACAGTCTGCTGCCCTCGCATACCTTCCTTTGCCAAATGTATTTGTAGCCTTAAAGGATAAGTCCATCTTTTGTAACTAGTTACCCCCGTATTTAGGGTGTAACTTATCACTGTTGTAGCAGCCCCTGCACACCTTTTGTGACAGCTGGCAGGGGATCCTCTCCCCTCACCTGTTCCCTTTGTCACAATTTTTAAAAAATATGTACTAGTGCAGGGGCTCTGTCCACCTGGCTACTTCATTCATTCACAGAGTTCTGTGAATGAATGCCGTACAAGTACCGGCAGCCTTTGCAGTTGATGGCTTGTAGTTCTCAATGAACTACCAGGGCGCTGTTGAGCGCTCTAGTCAGTTCATTGATGCTTCCTGTCATTGTATAACTGCCTGCTGGTATGAGGTACGAGTAGACAGATACACTGACAGTCTGCAGGAGCCTGAGATTGCACCCACGATCTGCTGATCGTGGGTGAAATGCTTTACAGGCTCCTAGTATAAAAAAAAAAAAAAAAAATACACTTTTTTTTTTACCTGTAAAAAGATGTGCATTTATTATTTTTTCACAAAAGTGAGATGATTTGGTATCAATTTCACTGTTATGACTTATACTATTCAGACATGTTCAAACATATGAAAAAAAAGAGCAAACAGGAGGCGCAAACCCCTAGTGCATTATCCAAGGTTTATTTAAGGTAAAGAGGATGAAAATACATACTCACAAACATGGCATAAATGTAAAGTTTAGTAGAACGGTAGAGATGGCCATAAAAGTGGCGGGGTGTCCGACTGTCAGTATGGTCGGCTTTCTGACGCGCTTCGGGGACGAGTCCCTTTCCTCAGAGCTGGTGATCGACCTGGTTGTAGGTCATTCTATAAATCAAACATATATTTTCATATTTAGTATCTATAAATTGTCAAGGCAAACCTAATAAAAAAAAATGCTGAAAATATATTAAGCGATGGCAATGAAAATGTGAACAAAATGTTTTCAAAACCAGGAGATTCCTCCTTTTTTTTTTTTTTTTTCTTTTTTTGGTATGAAGTAACCCTTAGCAGTGGGTTGCTGCTGTTCATTACGTTTTGCTTTTCAGACTGGCCTGTGTGTTTAAAAAAAAAAAGATAAATGTGTGTGTGTATATATATATTTATATATTATATATATATACACACAGTGGGGCAAAAAAGTATTTAGTCAGCCACCAATTGTGCAAGTTCTCCCACTTAAAAAGATGAGAGAGGCCTGTAATTGGCATCATAGGTAGATCTCAACTATAAGAGACAAAATGAGAAAACAAAATCCAGACAATCACATTGGCTGATTTGGAAAGAATTTATTTGCAAATTATGGTGGAAAATAAGTATTTGGTCACCTACAAACAAGCAAGATTTCTGGCTCTCACAGACCTGTACCTTCTTCTTTAAGAGGCTTCTCTGTCCTGCACTCATTACCTGTATCAATGGAACCTGTTTGAGGTTGTGGACAGGTGTCTTTTATACTGATAACAAGTTCAAACAGTCACACTCCAAACTCCACTATGGTGAAGACTAAAGAGCTGTCGAAGGACACCAGAAACAAAATTGTAGACCTGCACCAGGCTGGGAAGACTGAATCTGCAATAGGCAAGCAGCTTGGTGTGAACAAATTAACTGTGGGAGCAATAATTAGAAAATGGAAGACATACAAGACCACTGATAATCTCCCTCGATCTGGGGCTCCACGCAAGATCTCACCCCGTGGGGTCAAAATAATCACAAGAACGATGAGCAAAAATCCAAGGACCACACGGTGGGACCTAGTGAATGACCTGCAGAGAGCTGGGACCAACGTAACAAAGGCTACCATCAGTAACACACTACACCGCCAGGGACTTAGATCCTGCAGTGCCAGGCGTGTCCCCCTGCTTAAGCCAGTACATGTCCGGGCCCATCTGAAGTTTGCTAGAGAGCATTTGGATGATCCAGAAGAGGATTGGGAGAATGTCATATGGTCAGATGAAACCAAAATAGAACTGTTTGGTAGAAACACAACTTGTCGTGTTTGGAGGAGAGAGAATGCTGAGTTGCATCCAAAGAACACCATACCTACTGTGAAGCATGGGGGTGGGAACATCATGCTTTGGGGCTGTTTCTCCGCAAAGAGACCAGGAAGACTGATCCATCTACAGGACAGAATGAATGGGGCCATGTATCCTGAGATTTTGAGTGCAAACCTCCTTCCATCAGCAAAGGCATTGAAGATGAAACATGGCTGGGTCTTCCATCATGACAATGATCCCAAACATACCGCCCGGGCAACAAAGGAGTGGCTACGTAAGAAGCATTTCAAGGTCCTGGAGTGGCCTAGCCAGTCTCCAGATCTCAACCCCGTAGAAAACCTTTGGAGGGAGTTGAAAGTCCGTGTTGCCCAGCGACAGCCCCCAAAACATCACTGCTCTAGAGGAGATCTGCATGGAGGAATGGGCCAACATACCAGCAACAGTGTGTGCCAAACTTGTGAAGACTTACAGGAAACATTTGACCTCTGTCATTGCCAACAGAGGATATATAACAAAGTATTGAGATGAACTTTTGATATTGACCAAATACTTATTTTCCACCATAATTTGCAAATAAATTCTTTCCAAATCAACCAATGTGATTGTCTGGATTTTATTTCTCATTTTGTCTCTCATAGTTGAGGTCTACCTATGATGCCAATTACAGGTCTCTCTCATCTTTTTAAGTGGGAGAACTTGCACAATTGGTGGCTGACTAAATACTTGTTTGCCCCACTGTATATATATACACTTGTGTTCAGAATAATAGCAGTCAGACCTCACTAACCTGATCAATCACTGTTTTTGGTAGAAATGATATTTCTACATGGCAAAATAATTTGCTAGCAGGTGTAGTAGAGTAGTAGAAATCCAACAGACCCAACAGTCATGACATGCATGCTGCTGATTCTGTGTAATTGAATCACTAATTGAAAGGGGAATGTTCAAAATAATAGCAGTGTGGAGTTCTATTAGTGAGGTCATTCATTCTTTGAAAAACAGGTGGCAATTATTGCCCTTATTTAAGGAAGGAAGGCAGCAAATGTTGTACATGCTGGTTACTGTGCATTTCTCTCTGAAATTCTGAGGAAAATGGGTCGTTCCAGACATTGTTCAGAAGAACAGCGTACCTTGATTAAAAAGTTGATTGGAGAGGGGGAAAACATAAAGAAGTGCAGAAAATGATAGGCTGCTCAGCTAAAAATGATCGCAAATGCTTTAAAATGGCAACCAAAACCTGAAAGACGTGGAAGAAAGCGAAAAACTACCATTCGAATGGATAGAAGAATAGCCAAAATGGCAAGGACTCAGCCAACAATCAGCTCCAGGAAGATCAAAGAAGGTCTAAAGTTCCCTGTTACACTGTTACAATTAGAAGACGCCTATGTGAAGCCAAGCTATCTGCAAGAAGCCCCCGCAAAGTCCCACTTGAAAAAAAGACGTCCTGAAGAGGTTACAATTTGCGAAAGAGCACATTGACTGGCCTAAAGAGAAATGGCGCAACATTTTGTGGACTGATGAAAGTAAGATTGTTCTTTTTGGGTCTAGTGGCCGGAGACAGTTTGTCAGACGACCCCCAAACACTGAATTCAAGCCACAGTACACTGTGAAGACAGTGAAGCATGGTTGCGCAAGCATCATGATATGGGGATGTTTCTCATACTATGGTGTTGGGCCTATTTATCGCATACCAGGGATCATGGATCAGTTTGAATACATCAGAATACTTGAAGAGGTCATGCTGCCTTATGCTGAAGAGGACATGCCCTTGAAATGGGTGTTCCAACAAGACAACGACCCCAAACACACCAGTAAACGTGCAACATCTTGGTTCCAGACCAACAAGATTGACGTTATGGAGCGGCCAGCCCAATCCCCCGGTTCTTAATCCAATAGAAAACTTGTGGGGTGACATAAAAAATGCAGTTTCTGAGGCAAAACCAAGAAATAGAGAAGAACTGTGGAATGTAGTCCAATCATCCTGGGCTGGAATACCTGTTCACAGGTGCCAGAAGTTGGTTGACTCCATGCAACACAGATGTACAGCAGTTCTCAGAAACAGTGCTTATACAACTAAATATTAAGTGATTCAAAGGAAAGCAAAATCTTCAAACATTTTTCAGTTTATATAGTGAATGTTTGAGTTTGTAAAGAAGAATACAAACACTATTTTTTTTCAACAGTCTAATATTCACTTTTCTTCAATTTTTTTAGAGGAACAACACAAATTTGATATATTTTTCTTCATGTTTTGATTTGGAATAGAATGTGTAGTGTTCCCAATGCATTTGTGTGTATGGAAATAAAAGGTATTAGAAGGATTTTGAGCTTTATTCACTTTTTTCAAGACACTGCTATTATTTTGAACACAACTGTGTGTATATATATGTATGTATATATATATATATGTATGTATATATATATATATATAGTAAATAAAAGCATGTGTATGTATGGGTGATAAGTTTTTTTTTTTTCTTTCCCCTAGGTCTTGCCTCACTCTTGGGTCTGGGCATTGCCTCTCCTCACTCAGCCTTCACACAGATGGTGACGACCTTTGGCCTTGCTGGGATTGTGGGTTACCACACAGTGTGGGGAGTCACTCCTGCTCTGCATTCTCCACTTATGTCTGTGACAAATGCCATCTCAGGTGAGCAACAGTTTTGGCGTATATGTACTTGCATAGAACTTTCTAGAAAGATAAGTTGTAAAGTGTGTATGTAGCCCAAACCCTGCCACTTTGGCTGTTGCTGTATGTACCATTGTGAAAATTTACCTTAATTTCCTGTCCCAAAGAAGAAGAAAGATGTGCAGGGGTGGGTTGATTTGAAAAACAATCCAAAAAAGTCACTGACACACTTTCAAGCTAGCCAGCAAAACACTTAAAGTGGTAGTGAAGTCCACTTTTTAACTTGTAACTTCAGGTAATCCTTACCTGTAGGTACAGTGAATATCTCCTAAACTTGCACTGTTTAGGAGATATTTGCACTGAATGCAGCTGGTGATATCACCGGTGCATGCGCTCTGATGGGGCGACATACCCGTGCCGTCCCTTCAGAGATCCGTGCCGCGTGAGTGCCATCATCCCAGTCTGGCCATTCATGCAGCTGGAGCCCGTGAAGCCTGACGGAAGACTGGGTGAAGATGGAAGTCTTGTCAGAGGTGACAGCCTGCCCCTGGAGAGCTTTGTCTTCAGGTAAGTATGCCGTAATGTTCTAGTATGCGGTGCACACTAGCACATTATATCGTTAACGTGCAGGTGGACTTTTTCTTTCCTCAGTACTTTACTACTGCTTTAAACTGTTTTAACAGCTCTGATTAAAAACAAGAGATTTTTGTTACATACACATCATGGCACCTCTGAATATTGGTGATGGGGCCACTTTTTCGTAATAAGAATTCTGTGGGATCTTCTGCCAGCACTGCAGAAGGTAATTCTTTAAAAAGTCCTCTGATTTCAGAGCTCTCTGGGTGCTCTAGAAGAAAAAGGAACTGGTGTTCTGGAATATATTTTGTTTCTATGCCTGTGTAGAGTGAAGGTCTTCCTCTTTTGTGCACCACTAGACCTTCCTAATTCATCAAAGTATATCTGGAATATTTTGCTGTTGGCTTATAACCAATGGTTATTTCGGAATCCCCAGATATTTTGTCCCTGCTATGGAAGATCTTTATCCCCCAGCTCAGTCCTCCTCTTTCATTTTGCTCTAATTCTTCAAGCCAGCCACAACATTTGATGGGTCCCCACTGTGAACTGGCAATACTCTGTTTCAGAACATGTTCATTAAAAATCCCTTTATTAGCCAGCCCTCCACAGTTTAGTAATGTATTTCCCGCTGGGGTGGTCACACCTCCTGCTGAGGAACAAAGGGTATGAAACAGAGCCTACTTATAAACCACAGTTATAGACTTAAGCCTTCTCTGTTTTTCTTATTAAAAAAATATTGTGAAGTATAAAAAATACATTGTACTTATTACAATCTTTGTTGAAAAGCGAACAGTTGTTAAACATTTACAGTGGCCTTTTGGCTTTTTTGGGCTGTTTGCTGTAACCCTGCGTATGGCTGTACCATTAGGCTGTTCTCTGTCATAAAACTCTATTATATTTTTAGGATCGCTGTAGCTCACTTTACTTGAAATTGATCCTTGTAATTTCTAACTTGTGTTCTCAGTGTCTGTCTCAGTGTGATGCAGGGAACAGCTTTCTTTTAGGTCCCAATCACTCTGCCCGATGCAACATTTATTGTTTCAAATACACATTGGGCTGGATTTACTAAAAGTGATATTAAAGGCAATTTATAATAAAAAAAACAAGCATGTTATACTTACCTGCTCCTGTACAAGGGTTTTGCACACAGCAGACCTGATCCTTCTCTGCTTGATTCCCCTGCTGGCACTTCAGGCTCCTCCCTCCTGCCAAGGGCCCCCAGAGCAAGCAGTTTGCTGTGAGGGCATCCAAGCAGACTCGCTCCCAAGCCACTGCTCTGCTTGTGCATTTACTCACAGAGCCATGACTCAGGCCTGTTCCCCTTCCACTTCTCATTGGCTCACTGCCTGTGATTGACAGCCAATGAGGAGGGATAGTACAGAGCATATTGTTTCAGCCAGTGAGGAGGGAGAATTCCCTATAGTCATCTATTTGAATTTCTTGGCCTTAAAAAGATTTACAGTAATCCTAACTGGATTGCATTTAGTATGAGAAAGTACTTTGCATCATAAACAATTGACATTTTTATTGCATAAATTCCTTTTTTTTTCCACATTTTTCATCTTTAAAGTGGTTGTAAACCTCAGAAATGAAATATGAACAAAGCAATTCTCTCTACAGTGGGTGTGTGCCTCATTCCATAGCACAAAGTGTCATTTTTGTCTACTTCTTTGTTCCTCTATCAGCATGAATCAGTTCCTATAGGTTTTCCTGTCACAAGAGAAAAATGGTGACAGGGGAGGGACTTTGAACTGATCAACAGCCTCACCTCTGCTCCTGTGAGCTGTGTGGAGGGGGTGTGTCTTTTCTCTCCAATCAGCTCTCAGAACTCTCCCCACTGAGCTCTGCTTCAGCTTTCTTCCGGTTTTTCTAAAAACTCAGACACATTTTATAAATTCTAGACTTTAACCGGTTCTCCGCCGCCCTATGGCAGAACTACTGCTGCAGGGCTTTGCAGAATCACGTGTATATATACGTGATTTTGCATTTCCTGGTAGGGTGTTCGCGCTCTGCCCTACCCACGCTGTCGATCACCGGGTCCCAGATGGAGATTCCTCGCCGACATCCAGCGATCACATTTTATTAGCACTGATCACTGTATTAGTGTCATAGGGATGTCAGTGGCAGTTAGTCCCCCCCCCCAGTGTCAGAATGCCCGCCACAGTACTGCAGTCCCGCTATAAATCGCTGATTGCCGCTTTAGTAGTATAAAAAAAAAATTAAAATAAAAAATCCAGTACATATACCGCCATTTGTAGATGTTATAACTTTCACGTAAACCAATTAATGTACATGATCAATAAAGTAAAGTAAAGTATAGTGAGCGCTTGGACAAAAAAACACAGCAGCTGTACACCAAAAAAGGCACCATATATAACCTTCTAAAATATTCAAATAAGGGGGGAGGAGGTGCAGCGCTATACAAAATAACAGACACTAATAAAATAAAAATACAAATAATAAATAGTGACTGTGTGCAAATAAAATAAAAGCCACTAGGTGGTGGCTATAAAGTGACAAAAAAGTGTAAAATAATAAAAAGAGTCCAAAGAAGGGGTGCTCTTAAGATCCAGGATGATCCTCAGACGTCCAATGATTGGAACAGCCAGGTGATAAAAAAATGTAAGGATTGCACACTCACCAGATACGCAATCTTTGTGCGCATTTGTATATCAAATCACTGGACCTCTGGTGTCATCACATTAGGTCTGGTCAGATCTGGTCATGTGGCTCTTGCTGCTTGGCACTCGGATAGATGCGGCTACTCTGTGGATCTGGCTGGTTTTCACCAGAGCTCAAATAAACAGAGAAGGCCACATAGTGTAATATCCTTGAGGTACTTTATTTAGTATACAGGCACAGGATAACAGAAGCAACTCATTCAAAAATTTACTAACCCAGATGTAAACAAAGATGGCCGCCGGGGCCCCTCGTGGCGCCGGCGGCGTGGCATCCAACCTACTGTAGCCTTCACTGACGCGTTTCGAGCAAAGGCTCGTATTCATAGGGGTGCAGCTCACGAGCCTTTGCAACATTTTACCTATACTCACAAATAGAGCTTTCTTTTGGTGGTATTTACTTGCTGCTGGGTGTTTTACTTTTTGCGCTATAAGCAAAAAAAAGAGCAAAAAATTTGCAAAAAAAAAAACTTTGTTTCTATTATAAAATTTTGCAAACAGATAATTTTTCTCCTTCACTGATGTGCGTTGATGAGGCTGCACTGATAGGCATCACTGATGGTCACTGATAGGCGGCACTGATGGGCACTGATAGGCAGCACTAATGAGGTGGCACTGATAGCTGGCACTGATAGGCACCACTGATGAGCTGGCACTGATGATGGGTATTGATAGTGAGTACTGACTGGCGGCACTGACTGGCGCAACTTCTGGGCACGGACTGGCACCACTGCTGGGCACGGACTGGCACCACTGCTGGGCACGGACTGGACACCACTGCTGGGCACGGACTGGCACCACTGCTGGGCACTGACCGGCGGCACTGCTGGGCTGCACTGATGGGCACAGGTGGGTGACACTGGTGGGCACTGCTGGGCACAGGTGGGTGGCACTGCTGGGCACCGATCATCAGGGCATTGATCATCAGTGCCCTGATGATCGGTGCCGATCCCTGCTCTGACAACTACCGGTTCTTGGCAGTACGTTCCTCACGCTCTGACAGTGTGAGGAAAGTGCAGCCAAGAACCGGCAATTGCATTTCCCAGTGATCAGCGTGTCATTGGACACGGCTGGTCACGTGGTAAAAGGCCACTGTGATTGACTTTTTACTACATCACATGATCAGCTCTGTCCGTAGGACTCAGTGATCACCGAGATCACCGGGTGCGTGCCTCCGGGGGCGCGCAGGAGAGCTCATTCATATGACGGCCTCCCAGAACTGGCCGGCCGCAGTTCAGCCGTCATTCGGCTATCTGCGGTCGGCAACTAGTTAAAGTAATACAGTGCCGTATCGCAAAAAATGGCCTGGTCAGGAAGGGAGGTAAATCCTCTGGAGGGCAAGTGGTTAAACGGATGAAGAGAAGACTGTAGATAAACAGGTACAACTTATGTAGGAGGATTTGTTTCATCTCTGTGTATCACCTGAGGCCAGTCACTTCACTGGGTATATGTAAGGGCTTCTAATGTATTGCAGCCCTTTCAGCTGTGTCATTTTACATGCACTTGCTCCAGAATCGCCTGCACATCATGACTCTGGTCAGTGTGAATCAGTAGAGGTACTTGTAGTCTCCACTAGGGGTGGAGATGTGACATCAGTTGTCACTCCATAACAGGATGGACCTTCATGGCAGGATCACCAATGTTGTTTTAAACTGGAACTTTAGTCAGAAAATTTAAGTCCTGCTAGATCTCTTCAGGCTGGCCCCTTTTGCAGGTATAGCTATGTAAATCAAAAAATAAGTGCCTATACTGTTTAAAATCCTGTTTACACTGTCTCACCCTGCTCTGCATATGCTCTCTGTTTTTGGTGCTGTGCTGAAAATGTTGAGGCCGATCTGCTGACAACCTAAAATTTTACTGCTGCTCAGGGGCTCTGGGCTCCAGCAAAATGGCAGCCAACCTCCAAAAGGAAGAAACAGGAGGCAATTTACAGCACACACTAATTTTGGTAGCATAATTGTTAAAGCAGAGCTTCAATCAAAAGGGGAAATTCTGCTTTAAGGCCTCGTCCCCTGTTTTCCCATTAAGGATTGGCACCTTTGGGGAGCGGGTACCCGCTCTTGACAGGTACCCGCTCTTGACAGGTACCCACTTCCATTGCGATCGACGGAGAGTCAGCAGCTACAGTTTTTGTAGTTGTTGACTTTTATTTTTTTACATTTTGACTAGAGCTCTGCTTTAATATGGAATGTATGTTCTTTGCAAAGGAACATTATTTTAGGTATCACGTTGTTATGGGTAAAGTTCTGCTTTCATGAATGCTAAACTCTAAAAATATATTCAGCTTCTATGAAAATTTAGTGATTTGGTTGAGATATACTTTAAAGGGGATTTGTAAGCTAAATAACTTTTGGGTGCTGCCATTGGCTAATTCACTAACAGCATGCTATTCCTATGGCATTGAATCACCTGTTTACCATCACTGTATGTGTTATATAAGCCAAAGTACTGCTAGATCCTTGAACCAAATAAGTACCTGGTGTCAGCCATATCTATAAACTTGGCTTGCACAAGGCTTCAGTAGTGTATGGGCTTTGTAATTTGTGATGGCTGTGACTGACTCCCTTTATGACGGAGCGCCGCGCAGCCGCGCTGATTCTAAAAGTGAAAGCTGTGGAGAAGAGGGACTCCCACCCCGTCACAGGTGAGTCTTGGGGTGCTTAGCAGCATGTTTCATGTTATGCCCTAAATACGACTGAAAATTACACTTGATGGGGAATGTTTGCAATGACAGGTTCTCCCATAAATTCGCACTGTTGTACATATTGATGTGTTTGTGATTTGTAGACCATTTCAGTTATCTTGCTTCAAATCCATATTAATGCACATGGTTTGAAGTAGGGTGTCAAACAAGCTCATGTATGATCAGATGTCTTTTAACGTTTGGTCATCCAGTGTGGTTTGTCCCAAGCACAGTGTCACTTTTGTTGGACAGCTTGGTCTGCATATAAATGTGCAGAAAATGTAAGCTTGGTTAAAAAATCACTTGAAGCATTAACCCCATTCAGTTACTCATAATACAATATTTTTCTCTATAATGGGTCTATAACCCATGTAATGATTATACTGTAATTATAACCCATTTTTGATACAAACTGCTGCAAAGTTTTCAATGTCTGATCTTCGAGCTTTGAAAAGAACTGCACTTTGGCAAAGGGTTAGTAGTTAAATAGCTGAAATTCCAAAATTCAGATTTTCTTGTAGTCTTTACTTTTTTTCATTTTCCTAATTTTTTTTTTCTGTTTTTTCAACATATACCTTATTTATGCGTTTGTACTTATAGGTCTGACAGCTGTTGGAGGCCTTGCTCTCATGGGAGGTGGTTATCTCCCTACCAACACCCCTGATGTCCTTGCCGTGCTCGCAGCATTTGTGTCTTCCATCAACATTGCAGGTAATACAGTTTTTTGGCTTACCAAAATGGTGCGGCCAGTTTATCTTTTAATCCCTATTGGATGGTCAGAAATTGGCTTTAATTTGCCTATCTAGCCTAAACAAATCAAAACAGATATCGCCTAATTAAGAGTTGCATTGCTGAAGTTTTGTATTTTTCTGTAAAGTAGGACCATATTCTACAGGTATGTATGGCAGAGCAAATTAAAGCAGGTGCACATTACAATCTGACTTCACAATCTTCTTTAGATGGACTGACAACTATGCAGTGCAAGGGCCTGCCTTCCAGCTGTTAAAGCCTTCAGACTTGTACAACTCTGTTTGATAAGGCATCTAATGCCTTGTTGCAGTGGGGTCAGTACAGTAGAAATTATCCACCAGAGGATGATTGCATTCATTAGTAATTAAGGACATGTTTAAGAGCTGTTACACTGGTAGTTTGGTGTGCACCAGGATAGATTTTCTCCTTCTGCAAGTTAATAGGAAGGAAACACAGCTTGGTGGAGGCTGGAAGGAACTTAAGTGCACCTTAAGGCCCCAATAACACGACACCGAGGCCTGCACAGAGTGAGCAAGTGTTTGTCTACACCAGTGTTTTTTAACCTTTTTTTCAGTCAAGGCACCCTTTAAAATTATGGACAATCCCGAGGCACCCTTTAAAATTATGGACAATCCCGAGGCACCTTTTAAAATTATGGACAGTCCCGAGGCACCCTTTAAAATTATGCACAACCCCGAGGCACCCTTTAAAATATGGACAATCCCGAGGCACCCTTTAAAATTATGGACAATCCCGAGGCACCCTTTAAAATTATGGACAGTCCCGAGGCACCCTTTAAAATTATGGACAACCCCGAGGCACCCTTTAAAATTATGGACAATCCCGAGGCACCCTTTAAAATTATGGACAATCCCGAGGCACCCTTTAAAATTATGGACAACCCCAAGGCACCCTTTAAAATTATGGACAATCCCAAAGCACCTTTTAAAATTATGGACAGTCCCAAGGCATCCTTTAAAATTATGGACAATCACAAGGCACCCTTTAAAATTATGGACAGTCCCAAAGCACCTTTTAAAATTATGGACAGTTCCGAGGCACCCTTTAAAATTATGGACAATCCTGAGGCACCCTTTAAAATTATGGACAATCCCGAGGCATCCTTTAAAACTATGGACAGTCTTGAAGCACTCTATTCTAAAATAGGGTGCCTGAAGACTGTCCACAATTTTAAAAGAGCACCCCATTCTAAAATGTGAAAAACTATTCTTACAGTTTTATATAACGCATCAACATCCACACAAGTAGGACACCCAACATTAGAAGTGATTTATTCTTCCAAAGCAAGTACACTTTTACACACTGGTACTGACTAGTATTCCAGTGTTTCTCTTCTCCCTCAGTTTCTGTCCATCACTCGGCTAATGTGACCCCAGCACTGATGGAGAGGGGCAGTGGAGCGTCAAACTAGGATGCCGTGCAGGCAGCTGACAACCTCCTTATCAACTGAAGATGTCATTGGTTGTCAGGACGCTGGCGGCTAGAAGGCCATAATGGTGTACAATGAAAACCTGTGGCTTTGTGTAACTAGAAGTTGGGCTTGTTCCACCTGCTGGCTTGTATACAAATTTGATCAATTTTTAGACATTTTGCCAAGGCACCCTGAAGAAACCTAAAGCCAGGTTGAGAAATGCTGGTCTACACATCTGTAGCTGCATACAGGTAACCTATGTTAGCATACGGACCTGGACCCAGCCTCACCTGAGTTTTGACATGCGTGCAGGAAACAGGTGTGCTAACTCTAATGCACATTGTGTTTGGGGCCACACACCCACTATTGTACGCCTGGATGTGCGGCTCTCCGTACAGCCGTTGCATCACCATTCACTAGCATAGTCTGCTTGCACATGGCTCCAGATGTGTAAACAAGCACCTCATTCACATTTTACAGGTCTCTGCTCTCCTGTAAACGAGGACTTAAAACATGTGGTAAAAGCAAAATCCATTTTCCTGTGTATACAAATCTGATGACACAAATAAACATCAACACGTTTCTCAGCTCATCTAAATGGCACACAGTAGCATGGAATGTAAACTGCTTGAACCTATTAAAACAATTCTATTGCTAGTTTAAAAAGTATTTAAAAAGTGCTTCTCTGCAAAGTAAAGCTAATAAACACCAATTAGCCATAACATTATGACCAACTACCATAACCTTTTGATGCATGGACCCCACTAAACCTCTGAAGGTATGCTGTGGTATCTGCCACCAAGCCGTCAGTTGCAGATCTTCACAGCTTCACTAAACCCACAACAGTAAAATCAGTCTGTATATGCAGTAAAGCATGCTTGTTATACTCACTGTGGAACCTAAGGGGTTAATCCTCTGCATTGTGTAAAAATGCTGTGTGATCCTGACTTCTCTGATCCTCCCCTTCTTCCTGTGCCCCCCCTCTTATCTCCTGATAAGACATATCATGTGGAGACACATGCTCAGTTTGGTGTGTACTGCTAGATAGGTTTTTTTATTTTCTCTTGGAAGAGTGCATGTGATCAGCACAGGGCCAATCCGCACTGTCTAGACAGAGGTCAGGGGTTGTATGGGCAGGCTGAATGTACCCAAGTTGATCGATCGTTCGATCAACTTGGATACAACCAGCCTGCCAGATTTGACATGTGATTAGCACTAGTAGCTGTAATTGCCCCTAGAAATCATCACTTCCCAATGAGGATGTCTCCCCAGCCCCCCTGCCTCCCTACCGTGAGAATACAATGGCTCGGTGGGAGGGATTCCCCTATCAACACTGGTTGCAGGAAAGACATTTGCACAGTCTATGGCCTGCCTTACTCTTACCCATTTTTTTTTTTTCTGCTTTCGATACATCAATTTCGGGGACAACCATGTTCACTTGCTACGTAATATATCCCACCCACTTTCAGATGCCATTGTAACAACATAAGCAATGTTATTCACGTTACCTCTCAGTGGTCATAGTGTTATGGCTGATCAGTGTATAATCCGAAGAGTATTTTTCCTTTAGGGCAGGAACAGAGGTGCAAAGAAATACCACTTTGTGTAAGACTCCAATGGGTAACTGTGATGGGTGGGAACAGAGCTGGGAATTATGGCATGGAAATCTCACTGTTTGAACATACCTATAGAAGACATACAGAAACCTACAGATATAGAGAGTCAGCAGCTGACTCATCCTTTCAGGCTATACCTGTAAAATGTAACTTTTTATGAACTGGCCCTTAAAACATGGATATATTCACCATTGAAATACTAGATTTTGGATGGCAGCCAGACAACTGTAGTATTGAGGTCATTTCTAAATATCGAGGCCCCAAAGATGTTGGACAATTAATTTCTGCTATCGCTCCCTGTAGATATGGCGGGTATCACTTCCATCTCAGATTTGACCAGAAATGATTTTTGTTGGCACCCTCATGAAAATTCTTCAATAATCTATTCAGCATGGTCATTATATGATGCTAATTGTGCCAAATGTTATTTTTGCCAGGGTATTACTTTCCCTTACTCACTGTCTTTGCGCAAGTAATTCTCTAAATGGTTGTCACAAGCAGAGCCAAGCTGCTCTATTTTGTAAATCTAAAGCAGGAGTGTGTAATATGGAAAAGCTTGGCTAAAGTTTTCCTTTTAGCAATATCATGCTGTAGATAAAGTTGACTTATGTGTAAGCCAAGGACATGTGAAATGATTAACAGATCAGAGATATGGCGGCCTTGTTATGCCACTGCAACAAACACGAAAGATCCAGAGCTGGAATCGTTTGTGTTATTTTATGGTTGGACCCTCTTTGCTTTATCAGGCCATCCATTTTTAGCTGATAATATTGTTAGTATACATTCTACTTTGCTTACACAGCATTGAAAAGAATCCAGATAGTTAATACACTATAAAAATTACATCTGGTATCTTATGTTTTGAGTGCCTTGAAGCCCAAATGAACCTTCAGTTTAAACTGGCTAAATGCGTTCCATATGCATCAAAACAATGATAGATTCTCTACAGTGATCGTGTATGCTCCCTGCAGAGTCAGATCTATAGCTCAGCAAAACTCACACTTCCTGCTCAATGTGGAGCTCTATGCTTGACTCAGCAGGGGGGTAGGCTGGACCTCTGTAGAGAGATCACTGCTTACATACAGATAGTATAGGTCCTTCTCTGTCTTGTGTTTTCAGGGACAGGATGTGGATGCTTTCTAAAGAAAAACTATAAGGGGCCTTTCACACAGGGCAGGCTCCGTTTAGATCAGAGGGGGGATCTGTTCGCTGATCTTTTGCTGATCAGAACAGAGCGGGATGATGACAGGTTCGTGTCCGCTCAGTTTTTGCAGAGCTGACATTGACAGAGCCCGCTCTTCGCAATGGGTCACTGGGTGTAAATGGACTCCGCTGTCTGTTTACACAAGATTGCCCTCCGATCTGACCTGCCTAGACAAAGGGGGACGGATTCCCTTGGTTTTTTTTTTTAAGCAGACTGGATCGGATTGGAGGTAGGCGGGTGTAAATAGGCAGAAAATGTATATTATATAGGCGCGCTTGTTGGAGCCCAACCTCTGTAGCTGTAAGATAAAGGTGCCAGATGGATATCAGGGATGGATGGAAGCAGTAACACTGAGGCAGCTCTTCTTAGAGTGGAAGCAAGGCTCTAATGCAGTAACAAGAAAAAAAGAGGACGGCGCCTCTAAGTGCAGTATTAACAATTTATTAGTAGACAATGGAAAATTTGCACTTACAAGACAAACGGTTAAAAAGACTCATTGTGTGGTAATTAGATCCAGGTGGGACATCCAGCCGTCCAGCAGCAAGCTATGCCTATAGGATCAGGAAGTAGAGTCCAGGATGTGCCTGTGAATCAAAAATGAAGCTTGGAGAGCAGAGTCAGATGTAGCAGGTGAAAGGTGCGGTAATGCATTTCGGAGCATGCTCAATAGACTCCTTCTTCCGACCTCTGTCTACTAATAAATTGTTAATACTGCACTTAGAGGCGCCTTCCTCTCTTTTTCTTGGGTGTAAATGGGCACAAGTCCGTTCACCAGTCCATAGGGCTGAATGGATGGTCCAATCAAGTCCATTTGAAAAACTGACAGGCGAACCTGATCGGATCACCTGTGTGAAAAGGGCCTAAGACTTTGATCACCTTTTTGTTTCTATGCACTTGGAATGTATTTATCTGATGTCAACTAGAAGTTGAGTTGAGCTTTAGTGCCTTCTTTTGGATAGACTAAGACATTTGAAATTGTGTCAGGTTTTTTTCTTCTCTGGCTCCATCAGGGAGTTTTTCTATCACTTTCTCTAGAATGCCAGTACAAAAAAATTGAGGGTGAAGGGACGGACAACAGTTCTAATCCTTCAACAAAAAAGTGTTGTTTTTGTCCCTTATACCCAGGGAGAGATTTCCCATCGCTTCCTGTGGGGTTACAGATAATAAATAAGCCATCCTCAACCTCTCTGTTTGCATGTAATGTCAAAGATGCAACAAAGACTGAAATTGGTGCCAGTCAGTTTTCTACCAGGCTAGAAAAGTCTGCTGTTTGGTTACTAGGGTTCTGAAGGTAAATGATTGCTATAAAAATGAATGAAAGGAAACCATAGCTGGGAGGAGAACATTGTCACTTGACCTACCAGTCACGTGTCTGACTCTCATCCAGTCACTATGCAGCAGAGAGAACTTGGTGACTTGCTGCCGGTGCAATGTCATATAGCGATATTCAGTTACCTTTGGGGCTCATGTACACTGCAGCTGATAAACTCACGTTTAGGAGCTGTTCAGTGTTTTTTTTTTCAGCAGCCCCTGAACTCACCCTAATGTTTTCCTATGTGTCCATGTACACATCTTCGTTTACAGTCGTTTACAGGCATTTGAGTTTACAGTCGTTTTTTTGAACGCAGAAAACTTGCGTTCAACAGTTGATTTTATCAGCAAAATTTCAAACGCAAAACGCTTGCAAACGCGGCAAACCGCGTTTATAAGCGTTTGCGTTAAACCATTTTTTTTAACTCTTCCGGTTCCTGATGCTGCCCAGAGCCTTTTTTCATCATGAAAAATGCATGGAAAGCGTTTTCAGGGTACTCAAATGGACAAAATACTGAACACAGGATGTTCCTACCAAGCTTGTCACACATTGTAATGACCAATTCACACCTCAGACCTCTCCAACCCTTGGAAACAAAAGATATGTTAATGACCATTCACACCTCAAATTCCTCATGAAGATCCCCTGCCAGCTGGCCTTAATGACTCACTCCACCAGATACCTTTCCCACCCTTGGAAACAAAAAAAATGTTAATGAGCAACTCACACCTAAGCTAATCTCAACACATACTGCTGTCTTTGTTTCTACTCTCTGTATTTCTCTGAAACAGTCTGAAATAGGTAATAATTTACCACATTTCAGTGCATTCTGGGCATTTGGGAGGTTCTCATGTGCTTAACTTTACAAAACGCTTCTAAATACAAACGCACAAACATGTATAAACGTGTTATGCAAACGCGCCTAAACAGATGTTTTTTAACCTACGTTTTCCAGCAGTCAGTTTCCATCGTTCAGAAGTGTCCCGTGTACATGGGGCCTTATTACTCAGCTAGTCAGACAGACAGGCACATGGACCCATACATCCTTGAAGGGGCATTTGTCTATGTGCTCAAAGTAGGGTACTGCCATGCCCAGAAGTCTGTTTAACCACTCCCTGTCTGGCCCATGTAGAGAAATGGCCGGACGGGAGCGCCGCCAATGCAGGTGGACATTTCTAAACAAACCCCCCCCACATCCATTGCCTGTGTGCGCTCCCTGGGAGTGCGCGGCACCGGTGGCTGCTGTGTCTGGAGGACACAGCGAAACGCAGATCGCTGTAGGTGAGGTCCCGATTCATATGATCACTGATTGGCCAATCAGTGATCACATGAATAGTAGTAAACAAGATGTCACTTCCTGACATCATTGCTTACTATTCTCAACAGCCTTGTACCATGTGACAAGCTGTGACCAATCACAGCTATCACAGTATTTCTCAATGGCTGCAGGAATGCAGCAAGAGAGAAGGAGAAATGATTGCTTTTACAGCCTTTATGGATGTAAAAGCAATCTGTGTAAAAAAAGAAAAAAAAAAATCTTCATCACTCCCCACAATTAGTACAGTGTCACTATGGTAACACTGTACTGCTAGGGTGACAGTAGGTTAACAAAAACATAAATATTAATATAAAAATGTAATATACTTTTTGGAAAAATTATAATTTTTGGTTATAAACTAATTTGGGTTATTTTTTTAGATGGATACATTTCGGGCCAAGTTTTATGAAGAAAGATTATTTATTTGCAAAATTTTATAAAAAACCCCTTTTTTCAAAATTTTTGGACCTTTACATTTATATATATATATATATATATATATATATATATATATATATATATATATATATATATATATATATATATATATAAATAAAGAAAGAAAGAATCCAGGTGGTGAATAAATACCACCAAAATAAAGTTTTATCTGTCTCAAAAAAATGCTAAAAAATTCATATGGGTACAGTGTTACATGACTGCGCAATTGTCACTCAAAGTGTGATAGCGCTGAAAGCTGAAAATTGGCCTGGACTGGAAGGGGGTGAAAGTGTCCGGACTTGAAGTGGTTAAAGAAAAAAAAAAAAAAATCACTGAGAGTCGAACAGGCAGCAGCATCTGTACAGATCTTTATGCACGTCTTGGAATGTACTTGCATACACATGTGGATGAGCAGGTTTTTGGACACTGATCTGTCCCTATATGCAAGTACACGCTCCGATGTGCATAAAGATTTGTACAGCCACTGTGCCTGTCTGACTCTCATTGATTGTTAACTGGCTTTTGGGTGCAGCTGTTCACTACTCCGGCCCAATAACAAACACAGCTTCATGGCTGTACGGCTCTGTGCACTCGTGTGAATGAATCCTATGTGTTTAGTGGATTTACCACCCCTATCTTGCTGGAGTCATTTATGAGGTTATTTAGGTGTGTTTTAACTCTTGGGATTGCTATGGCCCTATTACACACAACAAGTACTGTTCCGTACACTGAGACTGTTGAACCTGCTACTTAAACGAAATGTCTTGTGCTAGCCTTATGTTTTTCTTATTGTAGCCAGGCTTACATCTGGCACCACGTACGCTCACACGCCATAGCAGTTCCAGTCCAATAATAAAATACAACTAAAGTGAATGGAACAGAGCATAGCTGCTTACTGTATTTGTATTCTGCTCAGCTAAGACTTCATGGCCCAGTTTAAATGGGTGTAGACTTGTGGAAAGAAATGGTTTTAATTTCTCCATTGCAAATGTTGTTGCTTTGTCATTTCCTCCATTTATTCCTGCGCCATCAAAGTACTGAACTATGACATTAGTGAGATTTCAGTTTTATGCACTTTGTTTATATTTCAGTTGCATTAAATGTCATATTTCAGTAATGTAGTGCCATAGCTCTCTCTTATTATGTTATTTAAGGTTTATAAGCCCCCATATAGTGTCTGTCTCAAAACTTTCTTGCCTTTGGATATCTTCTGCAGAACATACATTTATCTTTACGTTACAAGCAACTCCCCTGAGAATGTCCACAACATGCTTTTGAGCTACTGGCAAGTGTTTTTCATGCTGCTTTAGGCATCTCTGTAGTTAATCTTTGGTGTGCAAGTAGAATTGCAGCAAGGTTGGTTAAGTGAGTAGTGTAATTCATTGGCCTTTTACTCTCTCCGTTGCATTTACAACGTAGAAACCGGGTTGTGGAGAAGACATGTTAATTGTTTTCAGGACTGAATACTACTCTTTTGTAGTATGAACATCACAATTTTTTCCACTTCTTTTTCTTTTTAATTTTTTTTTTTTTTTTTTTGATAGAAAAAAATTTGATTTGGTTGTTCATTCTAATAAAGCCCAGAAGAAGCCTCATACCCTTTCTCTCTTTGGAATCCTTTAATTCTGTACCACAGAATGTTTTGATTTTTGCATCATGATAGGTAAATATTTAAGGGGTAAAAAAGAGGAGCTGATCATGGGAGGTTTTGTTTACCCTAATGTAGAGAATACATTAGCCACTTGCCCTCCTGAGGATTTACCCCCCTTCCTTACCAGGCCATTTTTTGCTGTTCGGCACTGCGCTATTTCATCTGGTAATTATGCGTTCATGCAGTGCTGTACCCAAACAAAATTTATGTCCTTTTTTCACACAAAGAGAGCTTTCTTTTGGTGATATTTGATCACCTCTGCGGTTTTTATTTTTTGCACTGTAAACAAAAAAAAGACATGTAAATTTTGAAAAAAAAAGCCCGATATTTTTCACCTTTTGGTTATAAAATGTCCCCTTTTTGGAAAGTAGACACCCCAAGGATTTTGCAGAGAGGCATGTTGAGTCCATGGAACATTTTATTTTTTGCCACAAATTTTTTGAATATTTATAATTTTTTTTTTTTTTTTTACACAAAGTTGTCTCTTTAATGATATATTTCTCATGCATGCCATGGGTATATGTGGAATAACACCTCAAAACACATTCTTCTACTTCTCCAGAGTATGGGGATACCACATGTGAAAGACTTTTTGGCAGCCTAGCCTCCAAATGACCACCTCCAGGCTTTCAACGGGCATATTTCCTCATATCACTTCCCCACTATCTATCACATTGTGGGTGGGCGGGAAGTGGTTAAGGTGTAAAACCTTCATGCCTTTGGAACCACGTTGAACATACTTCACAACTGCTATAACAGAAAAGTGTCTAATACATTATGGTTCTAATATTTTTCTATTTTGGCAGATTCAGGTGGTTTAAGTTAATGTGTATGCAAAGCATGATAAAATAAAAATAAATATAATTTCTTCTATATATGTACTTTTCCCTGTTTCATCACCTAAAAACCCTGCAAGTACTTACAGAGATAAAACGTGTGCGCAAGAGACAGGACAGCTCTGAATGTTTGTTACGATCACCAGGTATTTTTTGCACTTATCGAACAGATATAACAATCTGTGTCAATGGCAAACCAAAAGGGAACAAATAAGAGACGTTCTTTGTTAATGTTTTCATACATTTTCAGCTTTCATAGTCTTTCATTTTCTCCCTATATAGGTGGTTTCTTGGTGACACAGAGAATGCTGGACATGTTCAAACGTCCAACTGATCCTCCAGAATACAACTACCTGTACCTGCTCCCTGGAGGATTGTTTGTGGGGGGATATTCCGCTTCCCTTGTCTCTGGATATTCTATTGAACAGGTGAGCAGATGACATTTGTTCTTGTCTGTTTATCATTCGTGATTGTCATTTTGTGACACCTGTATGTACATTATATGTGAAAATACCTGCTGTTGATTAATCAGAAATTAGATGCAGTATGAATGAAAGTAATGTTTCCCTCCACAATGCCTATATTTATTAAAAGCATTTTCTTTCTTGTCCATTGAGGAACACAGGAAGTCTTAAACCTTCATGTTATACTTTTGCCTACAGGAGGATTGGACACTGGCAATCTGTAGGCAAGCCAGGTGTATAACCCTCCTACTACCATTAGCCTCAGTTTTTGCTATTGTCCTAGGTTGATGGACATCTTTTATTTGGCTGCGCTGTTTTTAATTTTTCTGAGCAATTTTTCATTCAAGACTCTTTTTTACACAGCTAGTGGAGGTTTCCACACCACTCCCCTTTGGCTGGGGCAGTTCTTCTGTGTCAGGTGACCTCAGCTCACATTCTGCTAACGGATTGGGGACTGCTTGCAGCATTTCCTATGATGCCAATGTCTGCAGCCTGGAAATCCCATTTTCTGCTTCTTAGTCTCTTCTGTCCTCAAGGGTCCTCCTTTGCTTTGTTGGGTGTTGGCCTATTGCCACGTCAGCAGATGTTTTTACTATGATCATGCAGGAATTATGAATTAAATTATCCAGTTGTTTACTGCCTGTGATCGCAGAGGACACAAGTCCCCCCCCTCAGCCGATTCTGTATATGACTTGCTGCAGCCTTAACTGCTTCTGAGCCATCGAATACAGAGGCCCTGATTGTGAGTCACTCAAATCCTTGTCAGAGGAGCTTTCCACAGGGGAGTCAGTCTACTGATATTGCTCCCGTTTGTACAATTTAATGTCCCTTCTACTGGGGCAATTTCCAACACTGCATTATATCAGCCCCCTAAAGTAGAATTCTGGTCAAAACCTAACTATTCTTATAAATTCCCTCCTCCTAACACCTTTTCTGATTAACCTGTGTAAGAAGGATGTGTATACTTATTTCCATGCTGTTCCAGTCTGTTCATGTTATCAGCTCCCCTGTGTCAGCCAAGCTGCAGGGGAGAGTAGGGGACACTGACAGCAGATGGGCCATAATAGGACTTTGGGTGATGTCATCGCTCACAGACATTACCCACAATTGTCAAAAGCACTCTCCTCTCCCCTGTTGCTGGCACTGACTGACACAGGGGAGATCACATGACCAAACTGGAGCAGCCAGAAAATAGGTAAGTATACAGATCTTTATTGCACAGATTAGTCAGAATAGGCCTTAGGAGGGGGGAGGGAGCATTTATAGCAGTAGTCTTTAAATTACATTGTTACAGTTAGTCTGGCTGAAAAAAGACAAAAGTCCATCCAGTTCAACCATTTAAAAAAAAGTTATCCGGTACCCACAGTTGATCCAGAGGAAGGCAAAAAAACCCAGCAAAGCATGATCCAATTTGCTCCTGCAGAGAAAATAATTCCTTCCTGATCCCCCGAGCGGCAATCGGATATTCCCTAGATCAACTTTAGCTATAAATGTTAGTATCCAGTTATATTCTGTGTATTCAAGAAAGAATCCAGGCCTTTTTTTAAAGCAATCCACTGAGCTGGCCAGAACCAAGTCTTGAGGGAGTCTATTCCACATTTTCACAGCTCTCACTGTGAAGAAACCTTTCCGTGTTTTGGAGATTAAATTTGTTTTCCTTCAGACGTAAAGAGTGCCCCCTTGTCCTCTGTGATGACCTCAGGGTGAATAGCTCTACACCGAGTTCACTATATGAACCACTGATGTATTTATACATGGAGATCATATCCCCCATTAATCTCTCTTCTCAAGAGAGAATAAATTAAATTCCTTTAATCCTTCCTCATAGTTGAGCTCCTCCATGCCTCTTATCTTACCCATGACTGTTGGGTCTGTTTGTTTTCTATTACTCTATTACACCTACTAGTAAATGATGTTGATATATAATTTATACAAAAAACCTTGATTGATCTGGTGATGTTGGACTGCTGTTTTTGTGAACACAAATGTGAATAAAAACAATGGTTGTTAAATACCACATAAAGCAAAACAGTATCTAATAAAATATCATTTTGGGTACAGTGTTGCTTGACCAAGTAATTGTAGGTCAGACTATCATACAACTAAAAGCTGTAAAAATGCCTAGTAATGATGGGATATTACAGGCTAGTGCTGAAGTTGTTAAAGCAAGTCTAATGCTTGCAACCCAAATGATTATGACATTCTCCGCACTTTTGTCTAACTTGTAATGATTAAAAGCTCTGAGACTTGTTGTCGAGCCAGGATCTCTCTGGCTCATGGTCTCAACATACAGCTGCAGCAGGAGTTCACATGCACTTTTTGAAAGGGTGATGCTAACCATTAGTGGGCCTACTTCGTCCTGAACGGCAGCTGGCATCACATCTATTCATGGCTACCAAGCTGACGATCGCAAGGGCTTGGAAGACTCCCCTCCTCAGCTTCGAGGCTGTCAAAAATTGGATGAACTTTATAATGGTTAATGAAAAGCTGACGGCTATACTGTTAGACACCCATACAAAATTTTTGCAGACCTGGCGTCCCTGGCTTGATATAGCCCAACCGTCGAGATTCGACCAGTCCCTCTTGTCCTTATAAGATTTACATCTTATTTTATTTCTCTTTTGTTTTCTGTCGTGGTCCCCCTGGAGCCCTTTTCTTTTTTTTTTTTTTTTCTTTTTTTTTTTTTTGTCTTTGTTCCTCTCTTTTCTTTTGTTTAGTCTGTCTTTACGATATTTGTGCTGATTGTGATTTCTGCCTTGAGTATCGTACCAGCAATACTATATCCATTTGCCAGACTCCATTGGGAGCCCAGTGAGGCTTCATTTTCCATCTTCTCCGCCTTCTGTATTCAGATATAGTGACAACTTTTTCTTTTAGTTTATTATGTCATTGGTCTCTACATGTCTACCATTTTTGCAACTTATTGTTTTTTTTTCCTTTTTTATATACGGCACTTGTGTGCAAAGTTTATTTTCTTGTCTTTCCATCAGTACATATTCTGTATTATTCACCAGAAAACTTGTATGTTTTATTTCTGTCGGTCAGTGCATCTGTTTTTGACTGATTCTATGACGTTCTCTATTCTACAATAAAATTCTTTGTAAAAGAAAAGGTGATGCTTGGGCATAGCCACCACACATCTCATCCTTTTGATGTCGCACGTTGGACTTCCACAATACAATTCTATCCCAGGACCCTGAGCTGAAGGAATCCTAAAGCACTTTGGTGAATTGCAATGGCTGGCTCCTAAATTCTGTGTTGAAGTGTCCACCGCTGTATTTCAATCTAGACAAGTGGTACTCTTTGAAAAGGGCATATAGTTATTACCTCCACTTTGCCATCAGATGTTTTGTTTTAAGTGACGCAAATGGTTATTAGACTTCAGAATAAAATAACAAACCCAAATGCTTAGTAAGCAGAGCTAAATGGCTTAGAGTGAGGTATTTTGCAATCCTTTCACTGGTCTGTAGAGGATTTGCTGAAGACAATGCTGAGAGCACCAGCCAGCATTTTGAGTAATAATTTATTTCCATTGTTGCCAAATTTTATATTGGACAACATAAATACTGCTAAATATATGGCTCGTCTTCTGTAGTGTAACTGAGGATTGAAAACAAGTCAGGTAAATTTTAATAGTGTTGTAAAAACATGCTTATATTTAAAAATGAAAATTCAGTACATTCTATCATTACCATAACATGTATAGAAATATTGAAACCGTATTTCAGGTCCAAAATACATCTGGCCGTACTAGATAAAATTTTGATCTGTGAAGTCCCCAAAATTTGGCAATCGCATGTCAGTTTACTACATTTATGTGGGGATTATGCAGGGGACTTTCAACTTCAATCTGAACTTTCCTTATGTGTAAATAAAAAAATTAAACCCCACATAAAAAATGGATGAGTAAAAATTTGGAGAACTTGAACTGTGGAACTATGCCCAAAAACCTTGAGGGCATAGGACTAGTCATTAATATTAGTTTTGGTCTCTCTACAACTGACCGAAATCACTTGGAATGTTGTGAGATTAGAAGTCAGACAGCAGTGTCTTAGATTTACACTGCAGATATACAGCTATGTGACTTGAAGCAGAACTTAACCCATAACAACTTGATAAAAAATGTTTTTTTTTTTTTTTTTAGCAAGGAACATACTTGCCACAATAATTATGCTGCAAAAATTAGTATGTGCTGTAAAGTGCCTCCTGTTTCTTCTTGCCGGAGGCTGCCATTTTCCTGAAGTCCAGAGGCCCTAAGCAGCATTAAGTCTTCAGACTGTCAGCAAATCGGCCACTACATTTTTGGCACAGTGCAAAAAAATAGAGAGCAACTAAATGTGTAGAGCAGGATGAAAGAGTGTATTACTGGATTTTAAACAGTATATGCACTTATTTGTAATGTTTTACATAGCTATACCTGCAAGAAGGGGCAAGCATGAAATGATCTAGCAGAAGTTAATTTTCTGACTAAAGTTCCACTTTAAAGCTCAGAAGTGCCTGGGCATAGTTGCATGACAGGCAGTACACTATTTTTCAGGAAGAATTCCAGACAAAAGGTACATTTCTTAGGATACTGTTTAGGCACAATTAACATTTCTAGATCTTCTCTATAAGATAGCAAATGTTTACTTTGAGTTCAGATCAGCTGACTGCCAGTTCGGAGGGTCTGTTAGCTATAACAGAGGTGTGTCGGCACGAAGTTATGAGATTTTAATGTTGAATATATTTTTTATTAGATATTCATCTTTAGAGTATACAAACACAAAGAGACATAGGATAAGTACAGTCAACAGTAAAACCTGTGGTACATATATGTCGAGAAACAAAAGAGCCAGGCCCTGAGATGACATGTATCAATAAAACGGAACAAGCATATGATCTTATACATGTTCTAACATAAAACCAGTTTCTATACATAGTGGTAGATAGGTTAGCTACAGACGTCATAGCCAAGCCTCAGATTAGGGATAAATATAAGTCTGTGGCCATTAAAGGGACGAGCAACGGCGTGATGCCCTCCGATATCTCAAACCATTTATAGTATCACACGGAATTAAAGAAGAGACAGATAAACAGAAAATAAGTGGGAAAAGGAAGATAGAAAAGAGAGACTAGAGAACTAGGAAGATAAAGAGAAGAGGAAGAGACTAATGGGGTGTCTGAAGGATCTCAGGAAATGATTGTCATCAGGTGTGGCTAATGAAGTGTAGTAAAGGGCAAGGAAAAGCTATCTCTTAAGCTATTTCACAGATATGTCTTTTAAACGCAGCGGAAGGAGAATAGACTATCCATATCTTTCACAGAGCAAAAAACTGTTCCGAGGTATCAGAGTCCTGAGCCTAAAGTTCTTCCATACGCATGGCATCGTTCACAACGTGTACCCAGTGTATAAGGGATGGTATGTCAGAGGATCTCCCCACAAGGAGGGTATCAATTGTCGACCAGCAGACATAGAATAATGAAGCAAGTTCTTTTTTTGTTGACGTGTTGTTCCTGGTAAAAGGATAACAAAGCAATCTCAGGAACAGGGGAAAGTGACTCACTATATACGTTGTTGTAGATGTTAAAACTTTTTGCCCAAAATGGTTGGATTTTGCAACAGTCCCACCATATATGAAGGTATGTACCCCTAGCGTGGTTACAACGCCAACACGTCTCCGAGACCTGAGGGAAAATACGGTGAGAAGAGCAACCAGGTCTTTATACCATCTAGAAATTATTTTTCTCTTGAGCGTAACAGGAGACACTAGATTTATGAGTGAAAGGAAAGAAAGGCCTTGGTCCACTCGTTAGGATCCAACTCCCGTCCCATGTCCCGATTCCATGCCACGACAAAGGAAGGGACGAGGAGTCTGAAGGTTGAAGAATCTTATAGATTGCAGACAACTTGTGTTTGGGGGGCTCCACAAGAGAACACAGCTGTTCAAACTCCATGAGGGGGCGCCAAACCTGAGAAGAGGAGTGAAGCCATATGAGAAACATTCCAAACTAATGTGACGTTAACCAATCTAGCCCTGAGCGTAAGTCAGTCACTAGTGCGACTAGGGGAGAGGACAAATTATGACAAGCTTGAGGCCACATAGATCTTTGGAATCCCCTCATAGTCTGCATGTGACGACCCCTTTGAAAAGTGGGATTATGAAACAGTGGGGACAATGGGCTAGGATCTGTAGATAAATTACTTAGTGAGTAAGACTGTAGTGATAGGTTTAAGTGCTTTACGCTGGGTCAAAGTGAGGTGAGACAGGTCGGGTAAAAACATGACAGGGGTGTCGTTGAATAAGATTGTATTCTCCTGCCTTGCCACCTGAAGAAGTTCGGCTTTAACCTTATAGAAGTGGATTCTACAGATAACATCTCTAAGAGGTGATGCGTCCAAATTTTTGGGGCCCAGGGCCCTGTGAATGCGATCAATCTCAGTAGGAGAATCTTTGGGTTTCTGCAGAAGCTGATTAAAGATGACATGGGCTGCTGATGATAGATCTGTATGGTCAACAGATTCCGGTAATCCACGAATGCGAATGTTACTGCGTCTATTACTATTTTTAGTGTCATCCTGTTGATACAGTAACTGATGAATAAGGACTGTATGTTGGTTAAGGGCAACCTCATGCGCATTCAGAGCTCTAGCATATTCATCCGAGACCTGCTCCAGGTCCGATATATTTTTTTAAGATCAGTAATCTCTTGTTTGTAGGTGCTTTCTAGTCTGGCGACCAGTGAGTCAAAGTCCCTCTTAGTAGGCAGTGATTTTAGATAGGCCTCAATGTTGCAGCCTTCCCTGGAGCATGCTGATGTTGGAGAGGAAGAAAGCCTATCAGAGCCCTGTGGTGAGGGAGAGCGGCGTGCAGACCGTTCTTGTGAGGCCAAGTTAGGGCATAATGGCGCCGGCACCATCTTGGAAGGCTGCTGACGACGTGAGGCAGAGTGGGCGAATTAACTATTAATGGGAGTGGAGTTATTACCCTTCCTGCCCTCCCTGATGCTGTGCCTCCCCATCGGTGCAAGCTGCTTGGCGCTCCGATGCGTCTGAGCCCCGCTGAGGCCACTAATAGACCCAGGTGGACGAGAGCCGTCTCGTGTAGGATGTTAACGTGCCAAGCCACGCCCCCATAAGATTTTAAAACTGTGTGAGTTTTCTAGATATTCCATGTATATTTTTTGTCTGAATTGCAGGTAAATTACTGACTGTATTATGGAAAACTAAGAAAATGATCACATACATACCAAGTTTGGGTGAACTTAATCAAGAACAATGGTCCCAAATCAAAGCTCATTGACAGAGACAATCAGCAGAATAGCTGATTCATTTTACAAAAGCTTCAGTTTAATTTGAGAGGCACAAGGGTGACTGAATATTATTCTGTTTCAGATGATGTACCTGGGCTCTGGCCTTTGTTGTGTTGGTTCCCTTGCCTGTCTCTCCACTCAAGGCACTGCTCGTCTTGGTAACACTCTGGGCATGATCGGAGTTGCTGGTGGCATTGTAGCTACATTGGGTGCACTTAAACCAAGCCCTGAATTATTCGCACAGATGTCTGGAGCGATGGCACTTGGTGGCACCATTGGTGAGTACACATCAGTTATCCCAGTAGTAAATACTCTGACTTCTTTAATTTCTAATGTTTGTGCGTAGAACGATGGCAAAAACATATGTTGACCACATAGGGTGAAGTTAGCCATTTTATGGTGCACATGTAGGATACAGGGTTCTAAACCTTCCCAACTCTATTAATAAAGCATTCTTACAGTATAGACCAGTGGTCTGCAAACTGTAGCCTTCAGGCCAGATGTGGCCCTTTGCTTGCCTTTATCCAGGCATTAAGGCACTATTCCTCCTACTGACACCAACAATGGGGCACTATTCCTTCTACTGACACCAAAGATTGAGCCACTATTCCTTCCACTGACACAGTAGATTGGTGCACTATTTCACCCCCTGACATGAATGATTGGAATTATTCTTCCCACTCATACCAATGATGGGGCACTATTCCTCTCGCTGATGCCAATGATGGGGCACCATTCGTCACACTGACACCAATGATGGAGATTATTCTTCCCACTAATACCAATAATGAGGCACTATTCCTCCACCACTGACTGCCAGGTCTGAGGCATTTTCTACTCCCACTGGCCACAATCTGTCCCTCCTAAAGTCTGAAGGACAGTAAGCTGGCCCTATACTTAGAAAGTTTGGAGACCCCTGGTATAGACACTTCATAAATGATTGTATTTGAAACTAAGAGGATACCGCTTTAAAGATTCTACAGTCTAGGGTGACATGAGGGATGAAAAGAAAAGGCATGACGACACGAATTGCAAAAAAATGCCCTAACCTTCAGGACTCCTGAATAGTTAAAAGGTATATGTGCTAGCCTGATATGATCTTATTATTTTAATTTGTTAAAAATTAACTAACTTAATAAATCCAAAACTGATCATGACAGGTTCATTTGCATAGTTCACTTGAGGACCTGAGTTACCATCTGCTTTCGTGCTGCCGCAAATAAACGGCCCTCTTCTTCATTGTCCGCATGATCTGTCTGTCCTGTCTAAGTTGCTTCTTTGAAGTACAGGAGAGTTATTTTAGAAGGAGCAAACCTTTCCAAGCGATTGTAGCACGCCTCCCTTCCTCCAAGGCATGTTGCTGACTTGTTGTTTGGTATAACATTGGAATGTCGTGCCTTTTGATGGCGTGATCCCTAAGCAATCCTTTTATCTTCAAACGGCATATAATGCAGAATGCCGAGCATGCTGTCCATTTATGCAACAAGTGTTTGTGTACGCAGGTGCTTGGCTTGTAGCTGACGAATCAAACCTTGATACTACACCCCTTCATGATTATACTTGAATGCAGTGCATCTTTTTCAAAAATATTGTCTGCGGGCTCCTCCACCAAAAATGTTAAAGTAAAGTGTGGCTGTTGACAATCCTAATCACTTGCTTAATTTGTATACATTTCTCAGATGTCAAAGCATTCAATTGATTCTCCACAGTACTACCCTGTGGATGTCTTAGTCTGCCTGCATTACAAAAAAACAAAATTTATTTTTGGTGGAGTTGAATCGGCAGTCTCGAGTTAATGTGCCTAATATATTCATTTTTTTCCCCATAATCTTCCTCCCTTTTGTGTAAGTATAGATAGTATTTGCAGATATGCTGTAGGTAATACCTTTCACTATAGTCTCCTTTTGCACAACATTTTTTTTTGGTTTATTTCTTTTTTCATAACCATTAAATATGTAGAATGTAAATAAAACACATGCAGAATAGAAAATAGAATCAGAAGGTTTCCTTATAGTAGCACTAGCTGTATTAAAATTATCACTGGTCAAACCAGGGAAAAAAAAACATATTTTTTCAACGATTTCTTTACTCATGTTTTTGCCTTCACAATTTATAGACCATTGCATAACTATTAGAATAAAGTACCAAAAAAATAAAGACTAGTTTAATTTAAAATAATATGGTGTTATTTACTAAATCTGCATGGTGCAGAATCTGGTGCAGATCTGCATAGAAACCAGTCAGCTTCCAGGTTTTATTGCCAAAGCTTAATTGGACAAGCTGAAGCTGATTGGCTTCCACGCACAATTGCATCAGATTCTGAGTTCACCAATTTTAAATATTCCCCTTTGTTTCAGGCCTGTATCATAAGTAATAAAAAAGTTGTTTTAGCTTTTCATAAGACAAGTCGATAATTTTATTACTTTACTTTTAATATTTTTTAACTCTTAATAGGTCTCACCATCGCTAAGCGCATCCAGATTTCAGATCTACCCCAACTGGTAGCTGCTTTCCACAGTCTGGTTGGTCTGGCTGCTGTCCTGACATGCGTGGCGGAATACATGATCGAATACCCACACTTTGCCACCGACCCAGCTGCCAATCTTACTAAGATCGTGGCTTACCTGGGCACGTACATTGGTGGTGTCACTTTCAGTGGCTCACTTGTCGCCTATGGAAAACTGCAAGGTGAGTGAATAATTTGCCTGTTTATTCTGATTTCTTCTCTTATGCTATACCACCATTGCCAAGTTGATACTGATCCCTAAAGTTAAATCAAAACCTTAGTTTTTTTTTCCCCCAATTTCAGCAGCTAAATTATGTATGCATTCTTTGTTTTATTCCTTGCCTATGTTCCTATTTAAGCTGGTGTCATAACCAGTGCCCCAGGTTTCTGATTTTAGGGTGGCTCCTTTCTTTTGCAGCATCCTATAGAGTCCCCCTTGCATGCAGGGACCAGAGTTTTCTCCCTACACTGTATGCATCAGTAGAAACAAACAGCAATCAGGCATGCAAGTGTCAGCTGGGGAAAGGTTAATAAATGTATCCCCAATACAGGAAGGGATCTTTAAAGAGGACCTAGCCTTAGATATTTATGGTAAATGCTCACATTTCTTGTAAATAGTGTGGTATTTGCAGATATTTATTACCTCTCGCTGTGATAATGGTACTGCTCCTGAAAAATCACTTCATCTTATTTTCTCGCTAGAAGGTCAATGTCTTCTTCAGGCAATACCAAGCATCAGCATTTACTTCTGGACTGTGGTGCTGGCCTATAGATGTAAACATCCCAATGCCTTTGCAGGAGCCTATATGTTTTTGGCAGTGTGTACACGTTGTTTAACCACTAGCCTACAGGGCACTTATACCCCCTTCCTGCCCAGGCCAATTTCCAGCTTTCAGCGCTGTCACACTTTGAATGACAATTGCGCGGTCATGCAACACTGTACTCATATAACATTTTTATCATTTTTTTGAGAGAGATAGAGCTTTCTTTTGGTGGTATTTATTCACCTCTGGGATTTTTATCTTTTCTTAAACAAACCAAAAACCACTGAAAATTTTGAAAAAAAAATAAAGTTTTTTCTTAGTTTTTGTTATACAATTTTGTAAATAAGTGATTTTTCTCCTTCACTGATGTGCGCGAATGAGGCTGCAGTGATGGGCACTGATAGGCTGCACTGATGGACACTGATAGGCGGCACTGTTGGGCACTGATGAGGAGGCACTGGTAGATTGCACTGATGGGCATTGACAGGCATCACTGATTTGCACTGAAAGGCAGCACTGATACATGACACTGATATATGGCACTGTTAGGCGGCACTGACTGGCACTGTTAGGCGGCACTGACTGGCACTGTTAGGCGGCACTGACTGGCACTGTTAGGCGGCACTGACTGGCACTGATAGGCAACACTGACTGGCACTGATAGGTGGCACTGATTGGCAGCACTGATAGGTGGCACTGATTGGCATTGATAGGTGGCACTGATGGGTGACATTGAAAGGCAGCTCAGATGGGCACTGATATGCACTGATATGTGGCATTGATGTGGCACTGATGGGCACTGGCACGTGGCACTGATGAGCACTGACAGGTGGCACTTCTGGGACCACACTGAACATCAGGGCACACTGATCATCAGTGCCCTGATGATCAGTGTACATGTCCCCTCCGCGGAAAGCCGATAACCAGCATTTCCATGTTTACATGTGATCAGCTGTGATTGGACACAGCTGATCACATGACTGAGCCGACATCTTCGGCTCTTTCCGTGATCCGCTGTGTCTGAGGGACACAGCGCACCGGCGATTCGCTGAGCGCTCCCTGAGCCACGCGCATGCGCAGTGAGAATGGTACACATGACGTCCTATCAGAACGAGAGAACCACCTTGCACCTGTCATTGTACTATAGGGCGGGCGGAAGGTAGTTAAAGCTGGCCATACACCTGTAGAATTTTCTTTAAGCGTTTCTTATGGGAGTTCTGAAAAATAATTCCTCAGTGCGTTTGATTTTGTCATTAAAAGAGAAGAAAACTTTTTTGACCATACTTCTCTTGAATCACAGGAGTACACTTACTTTTGTTCTCCTGTGACCTAAAGCCAACTGAGTGCGGTCTATTGCCCTCTATCAGCTGCCTATTTGACAATTGCTCCACTTCTCAGTATGTAGCTGAGAGCCAGAGCCAGCTGTGCCTGCTCCCTCCTCTGCCCGGTGCTCCAGTGAACCATGGAGGAGCGGAGAGAAGTGAGTGACAGTCACTGCTCTCTGCTCCGAGTAGACCGAGAGCTCTGTGTTCATTTGATCGCTCAGTTCTCGTTCTTAGAGCTGACATGGGACAGCTGCAGCATTAAAGTTGAGTTTGGATGTTTGGTTTTTTTTTTTATACTTCCATACCTTTCCTTTAAGTCAACTAATTTCGTTTGAAGAACCAGACCAGCTACTTCAATGGAATCCCAGGCAAATCAAACAGATTTCTTTTGTGCTTAGAACATGTGCATTATGTATGATTTTTCCAAAATGAAAACCACACTCACAGTTAGTATCTTGTTTGAGAAAAAAAATTCCATCCTGCTCCTTTGAATTTTCTTATCTGTATGGTTGAAAATGATTTTCGTTTTGAGCCCACAAACCATTAAAAATTCGAATGAACGTACTGAAAACAAATCTTTATAAACAACATACTGTGTATGGCCAGCTTTACAGCCCTGGCCAAAAGTTTTGAGAATGACACAAATATTATTGCTTTGCACAAAAAGGGATTCACAGTCCAGGATATTGCTGCTACTAAGATTGCACCTAAATCAATAATTTATCAAATCATCATTAACTTCAAGGAGAAAGGTTCAGTTGTTGTGAAGAAGGCTTCAGGGCACCCAGTGCTGATTGGCCCTGTGCTGATCACATGCACCTTTCCTTAGAAAAAAACAAAACTTCACAAGCAATACACACCAATCTGAGCATGTGCATGTGACTACGGATTCGGTCTGTATCAGGTGGTCATTTCAACAAGAGGAGGGGCAGAGAAGAAAGGATCAAACATTCTTTTTTACACAATGTAGAGGATTAACCCCTTAGGTTCCACAGTGAGTATAACAAACATGCTTTACTGCATATACAGACTGATTTTATTGTTGTGGGTTTAGTAACACTTTAACATTTGTGTCATTGTCAAAACCTTTGGCCATGGCTGTACGCTGCCTCTCACCTTGCGAGCCGTAATAAGAATAGTCCCAGTCAGACTGAGTGGGGGGGGGGGGGGGGGGGGATAAAGGCAATGCCTTCCTTCCACTCGCAGCAGAGTAGTGACATCATTCTGCGAAGTTGCCCCAGTGAGGCTTAAATGTAGTCACTTAAGTGGATTTTAAGGTCTGTTTTTTTAAGATAAAGCACAAAGTTGCTGCATGTTGTTAGTTATTTATCCATGCAGACTTGTTAAGTCTTTGATAGGTGCCCTTTAAGTGGTAATGTCAGTCAGACAACTGGATGCAATGAGTGGTGCTCCAGGTGTTGTCTATAAGTAGGTTTGGGAACAATTTTTTCCCACATGTGTTTTAACTTGTGCTGATCATGAGGTAGAGCTTGTGTTCTGGCGCCATGGACAATCCGTACTCTGCTTTCCCTGCTGCCACCCAGCTTCTAAAAACTGGCCCTATGAGACATATGTAGCTGTTCTACAAATAGTCTTCATGGTTTTTTTTTTCGTCTTTTTCCGAATTGGTTTTTTTTTTTTTTTTTTTTCAAATCGTAATTTTTGTGTGTGTCTTTTAATAAAATGTTCTGGTTTCATTGTATTAACCATCAGATACGTATCTTAGCTTACATAATTTCGCTATATTAGAGGAACTAAACAAAGTCTAAACATAACCTTCCTGCAGTCACAAATAGCTGGACTGTTTCGATCTCTACATATAACCTGTTAATAATTCTGTCTGTAAAACTTGGATGGATGTTATTCTGCTGTGTCTTTGCCTACTTTACCATTAACAGCTGGCGACATGCTGAGTGAAGGAGGACTGGGCACCGAGGCGTGGGGGACCTCATAGATGTACTTGTCGTCGGTTTATTAGCGGATAGCCGAGGTTTATGCGATTTATCTTTTTTAAAAAATCCACTTCTTCACACACATTTGATCCTCGTTTTGGTCACCATAAACTACACTTCCCAGCTAAGCTTGCGTACCCTGGGACCCCTTGTCTAATGGGAGCATCTAATGAGCCAATAGTAATGGGTTGCTTAGTGGGGCTCATTTTATAAAAAAAAAAAAATCAACAAAATCAAAATTAGATCAAAAAAAAAAAAAAAAGCAAGCTAGGTTTAGCCTTGAACTTTTGTAAGAGGATCTCCTAGGGTTTTAGTTCTTTCTTTCATATGATCATAATAGTCCCTGTGGATTTAGCAATGCTTGATAGAGCCCAAGACTAAACCTGGTCCTCAAAGTATCTTGCAGTCTAATTTTCCCAACTCCATGATAGGTGCACTGGGCTGGTATTGGGTGGAAGCCAAGTAACCTGCACACGATATAAAAATCCAAGCAAGCACATAGAAAAAGTCAGTGCATAAGGTGTTGTTACTCTTAATTCCAATAGTTGTCCTCCTGAACTATGTACCAATTTCTTTCTGGGGTGGGAATAACTGGAGAGATGAAAAACCCACCTTTCCTGGGGAAAGTGTTGCTCCAGACTCCTCCTGTGCTGGTAGTTTTAAGTAAATATAGGCTGTTTGCTGACATGATCTTTTATGGAGCTGAGAGTTGTTGTGTTGACTGGTCCACCCCAGAAGAGCACATGTGACTAAATTATTCAACTTTTACTAATATGATCCAACAGGAGAACATCGGGCAGGGTTTTTTTCATGGTTTTTTCTAATGTCATTCTTTACAGTAAAATATTTACAATATTTATATGTAGTGTGACTAAGGGCCGGTTCACACCATGCCTGCATCTGAATCGCACAGGAACACGCTATGCGTTTCTGTGCAAATCACATGTAGTTCTGTGCAGTTCGATTTCAGCCTAATTATTTTGGGCTGAAATCACACCACACAAAAAGTAGTGCATGTGCTACTTTTTAAAAAATGCACTGGAAACGGACCGCATGGTACAAAAGTACTGTGCAGGCAAACGCACTGCGTTTTGTGACCCGAGTTTGGGGGTGTTAACTTTTTATTGACACCTGCTGCAGATCACAAATGTAGTGCATTTTGCATGCGGTTTGAATCGCGTTCTGTGCAATTCAGATGCAGGCATGGTGTGAACTGGCCCTTATCCATTTAGGATTTATTAGTACAGACATTGTAGAAGAACTTGGCAACACAGTAAAAGTCATAATCAATGGGATACACAGAAGATGTTTTTCTGCATAACAAATGTAATAGGAGGAATTTTATTTAAAATTTTAAAGTAAATCAGTCACTGATTAACATGCAGTCTTCTGAATCTCCCCTCTTGAATTTTTATGCTTTGACATCCTTCTAAGTAATTGCTTGATTTTTTGATTATTTGCTTATAGTCTCTTTTATATAATCCTTCCAGTATACTAACTCTGACACAACTGTTCTCATAAAAGAATACTTTATTCATTGACAGTTTTACTTCTGTATTGATCATTGGCTGATGAGCTACTGATAGCAGTTGTCCATTCGAAAAAGGACTTTTTTTCATTCAAAAGTGACCTAAAAGTGCTGTACAGCATACAGAAGATTTTTTTACCTTCATGCATAGAATGCATGAAAGTAAAAAACCTTCAGCTTTTACAACCACTTTAACCACTTGAGCTCTTGAGGATTTACCCCCCTTAATGACCAGGCCTTTTTTTGCTGTTTGGCGCTGCACTAATTCAAATGATAGGTCATGCAATGCTATACCCAAACTAAATTTACGTCCTTTTTTTCACACAAATAGAGCTTTCTTTTGATGGTGTTTTATCACCTGTGCGCTTTTTATTTTTTTGCGCTATAAACAAAAAAAAAACAAGAAAATTTTGAAAAAAAATATTTTCTACTTTCAGCTATATAAAAAATATATCATAAACTCAAAGTTAGTCATAGATTTAAGCCAAAAATGTATTTTGCTACATGTTTTTGGTAAAAAAAATCCCAATAAGTGTATATTGATTGCTTTGTGTGAAAGTTATAGCGTCTACAAGCTATGGTATAGATACTGTAATTTATGCCTTTTTTTGCTATACAGCGCTGCACTAATTCAAATGATAATTGCGTGGTCATGCAATGCTGTACCCAAACTAAATTTACGTCCTTTTTATCACGCAAATAGAGCTTTCTTTTGGTGGTATTTTATCACCTGTGCGCTTTTTATTTTTTGCGCTATAAATAAAAAAAACACGAAAATTTTGAAAAAAAAACAATATTTTCTACTTTCAGCTATAAAAAATATATCGTAAACTCAAAGTTAGTCACAAATTTAAGCCAAAATGTATTCTGCTACATGTTTTTGGTAACAAAAAATCCCGTGCATTAGCGGGCAAACTGGCGCTATCTGGGAGGGGTGCTAACACTATCGGAAGTCACCAGTGACACTAATACAGTGATCAGTAAAAATCTGTTCACTGTAATCAATGACACTGGTGACAGGGCAGTGAAGGGGTTAACTGGGGGGGGGGTGATCAAGGGGTTAAATGGGATTACTGGTGTACCGTCGGGCAAACTGGCGCTATCTGGGAGGGGCGCTAACACTATTGGAAGTCGCCAGCGACACTGATACAGTGATCAGTAAAAAATCTGTTCACTGATCAATGACACTGGTGACAGGGCAGTGAAGGGGTTAACTTGGGGGGGGGG